TTATGGAGGTTTCCTTGCAGCCTAATATTAAGTTCATTTCTGAAATATTTTATGGGCACTTGTAAACAAAGTGATGTTCCTTGTTTGAAATTACAGAGTATCATATAACATATACACACTCGTCGTATTTTACAGATCCTCTTTATTTACTTGTGACTTCAGATGAGTATATTTTTTTCCAATTCTTATATTTTTTTAAAAATAGTTCATTTTGTCTGTTTCAGTGCTTTGGGGCATAAAGTGTCTTTGTTTCGGAATGCGAGTATCATCCATTTTTTAAATATCATCTTCGGATTTTGTTTTGCTTTGTCAGGCCCCTGATAATTGAATTATCATTTTGAAAGCAGTGAAGCCAGCAGTGACAATACCAGAAGAAAAGATAATAAAAGAGGGTTTTTCAACAAGCTCCTTTTATTTTCTATTCAAGATTATATTAAATAATAATCTGATGTTATGCACAATAATTATGCATCCATTTACTAATGAGTTTTCTACCCGTGTTATTTTTCAAAACTCTGCACTGTGTGAGAGCCCTCTGATTTAAAGGTTTATCCAAGGTCAAGATCCATTTGCACAACCTAGTTAACCACTCCCAAAAGGGGAAGGCCACTCATCTCTCTCTTTTAACCTAGATGATTGATGATTGATAGTGATGAAATCCAATCACAATATTTTTTGTTTTCCTCATTTGTGACACTGAGAAGCAAACTCTGTTCTCTAACAGAAACATTTCAGTGTAACATGCAAACATAATTTTCCAAAGCAAGAAAAATTGGACCTTTGTAGAACAGTGTACACTCCCTTTCCTGCCCTGGTTGCAACAAGTCTCAGTTATCTCCGGATGGAAGACCCAGTTTTGAGAACCACATTCTTTTTCTCTCAGTATCAGTTTATCAGCTCCCTCTTTTTCTAAGTGCAAGAAAAAACGTTTCTTGGTAACTATCTAGAGGACTCTTGGCCTGAAAATAGGATCCTCTGAGAGTTTGGTGTGTTATTATAACATGCAAGGGTTTGATATTAATATTAAAGCCCCTCCTTTTGTAGTTTGCACTTGCCTCCACTAGTAGCTCTCAAGCCCTGGCTGCACATTATGATTACCTGGGGAGCTTTTAGAACCTGTAGTGGCCTGGGAATTGGTACAGTTTAACACTCTGCTAATGTAAGGTCTGAGTCACTTTGTTTAAGCTTTGTGTCTTATCCCAAAATGAGGGTTATGTTTTACGAGGATAGATGAACCTGTATACATTTATTGTTATAAATGGTTTATTGTCTCTTTTTTAACATCTTATTTTACACTTCCTCTCTTTATGCTTCCTTTTTGTTTCCTTTGAATTCCTTTTTCTTTTTTTTTTTTTTCCTCTCCCTTTGGATAAATTGACTGCTATGCTTTTCCCCTTTGGTAATTTTGAAGATAAGCTACTTTATAGTCTATTACTAATTACCATCTTTAAAAACATACTTTAACCTATATTTCTCAAAGTAACCACAGAAACTATATAACAGAATTTCTTGCAAGATGAGGACATTAACATACTTCCCTGCTCCCACTTTATTCTTTATATCAGTATAATCTGCAATATTTTACCCTGGGGTTTGGGCAGGAGTGATATCTTATATCTTCTCTTCCAAAGAATAATTGTTACATTTGCATTCTGTTTTATAACTATATTTATAGGAATTATTTAAATTCTTTACTATATGGTTGATTTGCTTGTTGCTAATGTTTTTTAAAATTTTTTATTAACCATAACTTTCCCATATTTGAGTTATTCATTTTAATTCATCTCTTAGTTCTGTAGAAAACATCTTCAAGTGGTTTTTTATGAGTGTTATGTGAATAATATATTTTTGAAGTTGGGAGCGATTGTCTTTGTTGTTTAACAAATTGGCTGGGTCATACTCTTTTCTATTCTAAATTATATAGGGATCGATCTGTACTGTGTCTAAGAGAAATGCGTTGAGGATCATGGCACAATATTTTTCCCTAGTTTCTAGAAATGATACAGGTGTCTACTTATTTTTGAAGACTTTGTTCAATTTTGTTGATTGGGCCTTGGAACGGGGTGGGGATGTGAGGCACACATGTTCATGTCACCATCTTTTCAGAGTTCATCAACCATTAAATAGTCATTGATTCATTCAGCAAATATTGATTGAGCACCTACAACATGCCAGGCATTATGGGAGCCATTAAGGGTTCAGAAGAATCAGACAAGGTATCTGCTCTCATGGAGTATATATGTATGTATTAGAGAGAAAGAGGGACAGACCATAAAGGTTCAACCTGCTACACAAAGCTGTCCCATCAAATTCAAAAGATAATTTTAGGGAGTGATAGGTAGAGCTACCATATATACCTCCTTAAAATGGCGCCCCTGTGGCTTCACAACATGGCAACTCTGGAAAAGGGGTATAAGAAAAAAGAATAAAGTGATGGCGTGTGGGTGAGGACTCATGTATGTTAATTAAATCCTCCTCTGCACCAAATTCATTTATTCACATGCTTAGAGTGCCCATGACAATCTTCTCTCTGAGACTGTAGCACTTTTCTTTGTCTCCACTTTGCTGTGATGTTGTCCTACTAGTAATCAGGCCATGTGATTTTTTTCCCCTTCTGTCTTCAAGGTAGTTGTCTTTGTTAGGTAAGGAGTCCTCACTATTTGCATTATGCTCCCCACTGGATGACCACAAAACTGGACGACAGGATAGCTCTGTGAGGGCATCCATGTCTGGCCTAGAGCCCCCAGTGCAGTGCAGATGTAATGGTTGGGGTTGATAGATGGATCTTCAGCAGGTTCTAAGAGTACCCTTCAGGACTCCACTGTTAGACTTAGGCCCAGTGGACAGTACTTTTCTCATAGTGGGAGACAGTTTTGAGGGGCAGCTCAGAGCTTGGCCCCTGGGGTCAAACAGATTTAAATTTGCATCAATTTGCGTAGATTTGAATTTGCTCTTACCATTTAGTGACATCACAACCTTCACAAGTTAGTTAACCTCTATTTGCCTCAGTCTCTTCATCTTTAAATTAGGTTAATAACAGTACCTACTTTATAGTGTTATTGTGACAGTTAAATTGAATAATTGATAAAAGTGTTTCAAACAGTGCCTGCACTTAATAAATCTCCACTAATATATAATAATAATTAAACTCTTGCTATACTTATAAAATACAGAGGCTACAAGAGATTAGACTGGACATGGATGGCTGCGGACCAGGTTCACTTTGCTGAATTTGATGGGAGGGCTTTGTATAGCATGTTGAACCTAATGCAGAAAAGGAAAAGATGGGTGGAGTCAGGGAGAGGAAGGAGAAACTGCATATAGAAGTTGAACATTTTCTTTGTTTTGTGGGGGGTTTTCTTGCAAACATGATTTTATTTTATTTTCACCTTAGCTTCATTATATTTAATAAGTAAAAATGTTAATTTACTTAAGTTTCAATATTATTAACACCAGGCATCAATATGAATGTTCTAAAGGGATTTAAATGTTTGTCCATTTTTTTTACCTTCTTTATACTTTTATATGTTAAACATGTTTAGAATGAGCCTATATCATTTTTGCAGTTAGAAAAATTAAATATTGTTTTCATTTTGAAAAAATATCACCCAGAAACCCATTACTCTAGTACAGTTTTTATTTGGGGGCTCCTGTCCAGTCTATCCATATATAAATATTTAATAGCTATAATCAAAAGTGTACATATACTTTTATGATCTACAATTTTACTTAAAATTATGTTTAATATTCTTTCTATTGAGTTATATTTATTACTTTAATAATTGCATCAATTATTAAATTTAATAATTGCATCAATTAAAGTTCAAACTGCATCATGTTAAAGGCTATCATATACCTCAGATTATTGAACTGACATATAGGTTGTTCACATTTTTTCTTTAATAAAATTATGTCACTATAAACATCTTTGTCCATTTTTTCTTTTGAATTAATTCCTAGAGATTACTGAGTCGGAATATTTGAATAGTGTTTTGGCTGTTGATAAGAATTCATATATTCCCTTCCAAAAGGATTATATCAGCTTTACACTCCAACTGGCAATAAATACATATGAGTTTCCATGAAGCCTCAGCAATATTTTTTCTTTATATTTTCCCAGTGAAATGGACTGTGTTTTCATATTAATTCTATTTCCTCTCATATGACTCCTCTGAGCATACTCTTTGCTCATCTTGATGGTGTTCTTAAAAACTTTAAAAGCTCTAATTCAATACCTGGATTTGCCCTTTGGCATATTGGTTGCAATTATTTTTTTATTCTGTTATTTTCTTTTTTAATTTTGGTTCTGTGTTTGTTTGTTTGTTTTTCCATTTATAGCACTTTCTTTGCCTCAGCCTCGTTCCAGAGTCTGTTAGTCACTGGCATGAAAAGGGTTTAAAATAAAGGTTTTCAGAATAGTGGATCCTTAGGGTAAAGTAGGAAAGATAACAAGAAGTGGGCAGGCATCGAGATGAGGCACTATCACCTCTCTCCCCTAGTTTCTTCCAAAGCTTTGATCTCTGAAAGATGGTGCTTATCGAGCATTTCTTCAGCATAGTTTTGTAGCTTTGCAGTTGTCAGAATCCCCAGGCTACCCATATCTCTTTCCCACCAAAAACGTTTAAAGGAGAGAAATGGACTTGCAATATCTCCACCCTGGTTTCCCCCTGGGGGATTACAGAGCTGGGCACTGTGACTGCACTGAAGCTTGAGTGGTAGTTTTTCCCCAACACGAGTGACCAGGAGCATGAGACACTGCCTGGGGTGAGCACAGTGAGAGAAGAAGAGGGGGCCAGGAGAAGTTTGCCATGAGGGACCCTTCCCAGAGCCATGCCCAGCATGGAACCCAGCATGTCTCCCACCCAGAGCTCAGAGCCCAGCCAGTCCAGCCCAACCCTTATGTCACCCTTTCTATTGCTCTTTAGATTAAGGAAACATTCCTCTGCCAGCTCTCAGTGGCCTGGGGACACTTACTGACCTTCAGTGCTCTTCTCTTGCAGTTTCCTGCTTCTTCAACTTCACCAGTCCCTCTGGGGTCGTCCTTTCTCCCAACTACCCGGAGGACTATGGCAACCACCTGCACTGTGTCTGGCTCATCCTGGCCCGGCCGGAGAGCCGCATCCACCTGGCCTTCAACGACATTGATGTGGAGCCTCAATTTGACTTCCTCGTCATCAAGGATGGGGCCACCGCCGAGGCCCCAGTCCTAGGCACCTTCTCAGGAAACCAGCTTCCTTCTTCCATCACCAGCAGTGGCCACGTGGCCCGTCTCGAGTTCCAGACTGACCACTCCACAGGGAAGAGAGGCTTCAACATCACCTTTACCAGTGAGTCCTCTCTCTGTTTCCAGCTGATCATCCCTCTGAGTGTCAGTCTCTGAGATGGTTGGGGGTGCTCCCATGGAGGAGTGTTATGTGTGGGGGGCCAGTTCAAGGGCAGTGCAGGGCTATAGCACCTGGGCTTAGGGCTCCAGCATGACATGAAAAGCATAAAGCGCTGGCTGCTGGGCAGGGTACTTTTTCCTGTGGAGTCACTCTCTTTTGAGCATTTATTTCCTATCGATGTGATGTATAATGTAAATGGAGCCTAGGACCTCATTTCTCCCTCCCACCCCCTACCTTCTAGAAGACCTAGCTAGAACCAAGAAGGGCCCAAAGGAGAGCATGCCTCTGTCATCTTCTCACTTGTTACTGATCCCTCTCTGATGTGCTCCCCTGGGCTTTGAATGCCCACTTAATGCTGACTTCAGGTATTCTGGTGGGGCTGCTCACACTTGGTTTTGCCCGGTACCCATTCCCATAGTCAAATCAGAAACAAAAGTCTGGAGCAGTGTTTCTGTTGGACGCTAATTAGAGCCAACTCTTGGGGCTCTTTCTCATCGTGCCTTTCAGGTCCACAGTTTAAAAGCTGTCAACTCCAGTTTCAATTCTAGGCCCCTTCTAGAAGTAACCTGAAGCTCGATGGTGGTTATTTTCATTTCTTTGTTTCCTGGGGTTATAATGAGGGTGGGGGTGGGGACAGAAACTTGTAAACTCGAAATAGCAAGCTGCCAAAGGCAGCAAGAAGTGCTTATCAGGTTATAATAAGCTGTAGATCCAGCAACCTTGGCTGATGGCAAATAGCCAAACAGCTATAGCTAGGTCTCCCTGAGCAGTAACGATCCTTTCCCAGTCGCTGTTTATGAATGCAAGTCCCCAATTCAAGCTCCGCTGTGTGCACATAATCACACACATAAAGCTGGCCCCCCTGGTGCTTTTTGACAAAACTGATCTCCTCCCTCCCCGCACCTTCATCCTTGGCATAGAGGTCCTACCTCCTTGACCCACCTGTCTCTGAGGTCTAGTTGAGCTGAAGATAATATATTCCAAACGGAAAGCCTTTGGGGACCCCAGATTCCAAGGGACTGCCCAAGCAAAAGCCCCTCCTTAACATTCCCCTCAGCACCTTCCTTAGGACAACCAGACTTGCTGGAAACGATGGACCTTCCCAGGCCATGCCTCCTCCAGGGCGTTCCTGTTACCCCACCTCCGGGCAGGAGGAAGCACAGCCCTGTTCTTTCTTCCTCGATTTTCCCGATCTAGCAATGCAGCTCTAGCTTTTAGCTTCTCTGTCCTCATCCCTGCTTTCTCATGAGACCATGAGCTCTGAAGGCGTGCGGGAATGTATTACTTATCTTGCTATTCCCTCTGCCCACACAGGGTCTGGTATGTGGTAAGGCTCAGTTAATGTTTATTGAATGGAAAGATCCATGAATGACTCAGTGCTTTTCTGGCCTGGTAAAGTGGGAAGAAGGGTAAGAGGTACCCGGGGAAGCCCACTGGTCCAGGATGGTGAGGGTTGAGAACTCTGCAGGGTCAAAGTAGGACCCCAATGGGGAATCTGTGGCAAATGGGTGCTCATAGTCTCCTTGGAAAACCAAATCCTAGTAAGTCCCCATTTTCCAAGAAAGGAGCAAGCGCTGTATCCTTGGGGGAGAAAAGGCAAAAGGCAATGGACCTTACCTGAGGGTCAGTCTCTTACCTTGCGTTCTTCTCTAAGGTTTCTCCATTGTAAAAATGATACACATCCAACATGTAAGTATTCAAAACATAGGGGGCAGTCTGAAGAAAAAATGCTAACTACCTCCCAAAATCCCCCCAGTCATAAATGATTCTCATCAACATTTGGTGAATGCTATTACAGACATCAGATATTTTTCTGTACACTTACACAGACAGATAGTTAGATGAATAAGTAGAAATAATTTATTTAAATCTGGACTCTATCCTAGACCTGCTGAATCATGATGCAACTAATGAAACAATAGTCCGCAGATAAGTGTTTGGGAACTGGTGTATTCTCCACCACAGGACATGCATCTCCTAAGTCACATGACAATTGATGATCATCAAGGCTGAATTAGAATTTGCCCTGATAGCTCTAGCTCTCTCCAGAGCAAGAGAGCACTTGGCTTCCCCTTATAATGACTTGAAATCTGTGTCCCTGTAACAAGGACCAGGGATCTCATCTCCACTCCTCTAGCTGCTTCAAGTAAACCTCATCCTTCTTCCATATGGAGCATCTTCAACAATGATGATAATACCTACTGTTTACTGAGCACCTACTGAACGAGCACTCTATGGTCATCACTGCTGACCCACCACAAACTTCATAAGCTAAGATATAACTTGTTTCGCACACCAGGAAGCTGAGGTTTGAAAAGGTACCTAGGCAGAACTGGGCAGTATTTAAATCTTTAACTTAGAGCTTTTGCTTACAGGTGTTAGAAAATAGCTCCGTGTCCCTTTTGTGTGTGTACATATATGTGTGTGTATGAACACACGTGTGTGTGTGTCTGATGTGGTTTTGAATAGACAGTCTCCTAGACTTCTAGCTTCAAGTACCATTTTCTTCCCACCCCATATTACTAAATGTCAGGGCAACCTCATGGTCATAGTTTTTAGTGAAGAAAGGATGGGAGTCTGAAGCCTGGGCCAACCTGGGCTTTACATTTCAGAGGGAAGGGCGGTGGGGTCTCTGTGGAAGTTCTGCAAGGTATCATGACAATCATTTTCATGTCAGAAGCTCTCACAGCTCATCTTCAGTAGGAAGGATTGCCAAGTTTACAGGCTTCTTGCCTCCAGCAGGATTCAACAGCCTCCAGGGTCGCTTCCCTTTCTGGTCCTACAAGTGTTTCAATCACTAGAGTATTTCAGAGACTTGTAAATTGAGTTCTTTAAACTGACCCTTTCCCATGCAGCCTTAGAACCTGGTTTCTACTGCAAAGCCATCATCGTTCAAAGAG